AACTGAATATTGCTAACACATCATCGCTGTATACATACTAATCTTGGTATAATCATATAGTGTAGGTTGACTCTGTCTTTTGAAATGAAAATCTGAGCCAGAGCAGAGGAAAGTGAACCAAAAAGAATAGTTTAAGGACTATTTCCCTTGATACCTCTTCATACTTGTTCATAGTGCATGCTGATACCGTGGTGCAGCGGGATAAGTGTGGACTAGCGCAGAAATTAAAGCACCCTAAAAGTCAAGAATGTTTAAAGTGCTTGAATCCTAAACTGTGCCTACAGCCTTTGTTCTTCTGCTCTGCTAGTTTTTAAAACGAAAGCTCTAATCTGTATTATATAGGATCATTAAATTGTGCATTTTACACTTGAACAACTGCATTCTGATTATCTGCTGCAATAGAAAGTAAGCAGCTCTGTTCCTGCAGACTTAATTACTTACTGCAGAATTCCCCATTATTGTCGGCGGTAGTGTGTCAGGGTCAAAGGCACTATTAGAATGAAAATTAGGCACTGAACGAGGAAAACAAACACAACATTGTAGCCTCAATTTCAGCACAGGTCTTCTTGAGCAATACAACATTCCTATTAGATGTACGGAATGATACAAAAAAAGTCAAAAGAATCTCATAAACAGCCATCACTTTTGTAGGCACAGTGAGGATTTGGATATGTCGCTGGTCTGTGATCTCGTCACGGGTTCTGATTGTAACAATAAACAGTCATTGTGCACTATATCAAAAGAATGCTGAACGTTTTGTAGCATGCCTGGGTCATTATTTATAGGTTTGGGTACTGACTGCAGTGTACCTTCCTTTGTATATCTAGGCCTGCCAAAAATATTCACTGTCATGAAGTCCTCTTAGAAATTTATGTTATTTTGATCAGATCTACTGTTCTTCAAATACGTTTTGGAATAATATAAAGACATCACTCTGCTTTTTTTCTAGCTATGCTTTCTCATGTGGACTCCTGTCTGCTTCTGCTCTGAGTTCATAATTAGTTACATGCATAACATGAAGTGATTAGTATGGGCATAAGGTTGTTAACACAAAATTTCCCTGAAGAATTTCCATTTAATTAGTGGGCACATTTTTTTTTCCCATTTTCTGCACATAGATATTTCTGTTTGCACAATGGAAATGACTCGTAGCTTTGATTCTAAAAACAGCTACATTTTTTTTTCAAAACCATGCTAACTAATCTTGAATAAACTGTTTATCACATTTGAAATAATTAACTCATGAGTTAAACATACATCCTTACAAGATGCATCCTGATATTTGGAATTACTTCAAGTACTCTGCCTATTTGAACATATAAATTTACATAACTTAAATGAGTGTAGTACCCTGTTTTTTTGAAGATTCATCTTTTATGGTATTCTAAAGACATTCCTCTCATCATAAATCTACCAAAATAAATGAATCAATAATGTATGAAGTAAACAGAACAGTTTTAAAATATTTTTTTTACTAACAGTCAAGTAATAGAAGTATGAAGGCACAGAAATGTTTACCTGTGTTTTATTTTTAGTTATTAAACCTGTGTTTTAAAAAAGTGAATTAAACAGCAAATACTGAGCATAATATTTCTTTAGTCAATATCATGATTTTGAAAGAATTTAAAACAGAAATCTTCAACTGTTTGAACTTTCTAGCTCTCTTATATGTAAGCACTGTCACAGATATAGTGATAAATTATTTCCACTGTGTTGCTGTGGTTACCCTCTCACATTCAATAGGACTGCAATAGTTAAAGCCAACCAGGAAAAAAAAAAGGAGAAGAGAGCTTTTTCTCAGCATGAAACAATTTCTATCACATTTCTTTTAATTATTGTATTGTGTACTTTCAAGATTGAATTAAAATGAAAAATGTATGAGATAATTCAATTTATAATACTATGTACTCAATATATGAAAGAGACATTGTTTCTTAATTATATAAATGTATCCATGTATAAAAATATTCTAAATACTGTATGTATTTAACTCTTAGCAGCAATCTCGTACAAAGATTTTTTCTTCACCTCTCATTTTACTGTTATTGTTTTTTTTTTAATTGTGTTGTCACTATTGTTACAATCCCAGATACTGTGTGGCTTAGAACAGATGATTTCACTTACCTACCTACAGCAGACACTCAGAATCTATTAAAGAAGTTCAAATTCTATCAGCATTGCCTATCAAAGTACCACTCCTCTTAACCCAGAAAATAATACGTTGCACTGTGCAGCAATTCATTATCGAATAACAGAGAGCTGCAAGCTTGCTTAATAAAAGACAGCATTACAGACTATGTTTGCACTCTTCCTTCCAGAAAGACATGCAAATGGCCTGCTCTCAGCATGGACAATCATTAGCATGGACAGTCATTAGTGCTTGTGTCTTTTTTAACACCCCCTAGATAAAAATTAGAATTCAAAACCCTCTTTTTCAGGGGGGGTTCCCTTAACTGGTTCTGTGTGTCCTCAATGTGAATTTTGTTTTGTTGTTGTTCTGTAAAGTGCTACTTTTAAAGGCACTATATAAAAATAAAGTCTATTATTAATTTTTTTTAATTATTACTATTATCATTCATACTTAATTATTATTTAAAAAACAGTATCCACATCTATCTATCTTAAAATGTCCACCCTTCAAGGTTAGGCTGAGGATTAACAGCAGAACTTATGGGTATGAATATTAATCAGGTATTAATTCTACTTATTCGTCTTAATAATTTGTCACAATTATCGTTGTGAGTGGATGGAGAGCTAATTATCTTGCTCTCTATTTTTTTGCTCTCTTTGTCTACCTATCTGATTGCATGCCTACAGAATCTGCCTGTCTCCTTCAAGAAAACAGCGTAGTGTGATCAAGCAACACCGAATATGCCATACACCTTTATGTTCACAGATGTAGAAAACTGATTCTTTTTGTTTGAAGAAAATTAATGAAAAATGAATCATGTTTGAAATGTAGTTGGGCAATACTAATCTCAGTTCTAGATGGTAGTATGATTTTCCCACATTATCACAGTTTGATCGATTTGTACATGCACACACTGTGCAAATAGTTTTCTGAACATACCAAACATACCTTCTTGGCATTAAACTGTTATGAAAAAAGACAAATATCAACAGCAACAAATCAGTTATTTGTGCTTATCATGCATAAAATGGTGCCTTTTCTAGGTGCAATTTCTAGACAGACAAAGCAACCCTATAAAGACAATACCAGTATGTGACATGCACAGAAATTGTGGAACACAACCATCCTCCAGGAAAACTAGTCAAAACCACAATAAAATAAAATGAATAGATAATACAGCAATTAATACATGATTGATCTTTGAATGTAATAGCTTGGCTACAATTAAGATTACAAATTCAACCAGTTGTGTGCAGTCCATTAAGTTGTGTGCAATATCTTATCTAAAAGTAAAAAAGAAAGTAGCTCCTTAGATTTTAGTTTTAAACTGAACATCTATTTTGTATTACTAATTGTTATAATTTCTTTATAAAAGCTTGCTCCAGCTATCAGAGCAATATCAAAATAGACCAACACTTCTTCTGTGACTCACCTGTAAGCAACACTTCACTTATTTATGAATGACACACAAGACTTACAGTAGCAGTGGACAATGCCTGTGTAACATCTGTTTAGGTACTTATTTCCTTTTGTCACAAATAAATAACTAATTCACTGCCTATATGTTTCACCAATAAGGTCTGTATTAGCCATGTCTTGGTGATTTACTAGGTCTCAACAAACAGATCCTAAAATATATTTAACCAGCGTTGTCCATTTGTCCATAATGGTGCTTTCACATCAGTGGTCATACTGTTAGAAGCATTACAAATGTTAAACAGAGATTGAGAAATGAGATGACAGACATAAAGATGTTAATAAGAGTCTATGAATGAATTGTGTATACATTATCCAAAATAATAAAAAAATCTTAACTGTAAAATTCTACATTTAAAAAAATAAGTAAGTAGGTACCTGCATTAGTGTGCGTGGACTACAAAGGTTTCAAACAATTGTTTCTTTCCTTTTCCTTTCAGCATGAAATTAAAACTGTACCTGTTCCATTTTTAAATAAAATAGTATTTATTCCTATCATGATAATAAATATATGATACTTTTTCTGCATCCTGGTCATTATGCCATCGTGTTCAAAACGAAGTTGAAGAAAAGGGTTGCAGATAATCTGTAGTTATAAATATTACTTCAACACTGTGGTGATGATGCCATTACCTTCATGATGAAGTGGAATAAAAGGTTTGTGAACTTTGAAGGTAAACATGTTACAACAATGTGTCATTTCTCAAATTCTTTTTAAATTTGCCTGAAATGTACCATGTGCAAAAAAGCAATAATCAGTACTTT